GGATGAGACAATTGAGCCATTGATAAACCCCGCCCCCTCTCAGTTACATTTACTTTGACAGGATTTCAGAACATCCCATGACTGGTGGGATTTTAAGTAAAATATGCTCATGAAGTGGTATTAAAGGTATAGTTCACTTTGAAATTAATTTGTGATATGTTTCGGTCAAACCGGGAATTTATTTGATGTGGATTTTCTGACAAACTCAAAGCTAAAGTATCGTTCAGAAGTTTTGTTTTGGCAGCAAGGATGCATTAAACTGATGAAAGTGAGTCAATTCATTTGTAGTATTACAAAATATTTCTATATGTATTTCATATATATGCTGTTCTTTTGAATCTTCAATGAATCCTAAAAAAAAAGTTTCACTGTTTTCACAAAAAATATGAAGCAGTATAACTCATTGTGTTCAACATTGATAATAATAATAATAGTAGCCTAAAAGTAGGGGTCGACCGATTATCGGCACCGATGTTAAGCATTTTTATGGTTATAGTATCGGCCATGTTTCGGTCAAACCGTTGTTGTCTACTATGAGTCATATAATGGACGTTTAGGGGGTCCTCCCTCAGTTCACCTCAAAGAGCATAGAGGGTGTGATCTCACTCACAGAATGCACGTATAGTGTCAGCCATCTTTTTTTTTGGAAGCTAAGCTAGCAGGCTCTTGTTCGGTGCCGAAAGCTGAGTAGTAACTTTAGGGGTTACCAACTTACCATCCTCTTTCCCGGACATGTCTGGCCGTCGATGTCCTTGATTCAGCTTTTGCTTTCTGCAATTGCCATTCATTGTTTATATGCACAGCTTTTGTTTCAATCTAACTGAATTCATTCTGATTGGTGAATCTGAATGTTTACATGAATGCTAAACAAGTGATCGGTTGATGTGCGTTTTACCATTGCTAAGAAAATTCCCGCTCCTCAGTGAGAGATATTCAAATTCATATACAAGAGAGATATACAAATTCATCTTTTCAGAGGTGAAGTATCCCTTTAAGTAGTTGTTGGTTTTTTTAATTTATTTTATTATTATTATTATTATTATTATTATTGAAGGAACTTTCATATTAAATATTTTCCTTTTTGCAGAAAAATAGCAGCGTACAGGTTTGGAACAATCCGCTTGTAGCATTTAAAATGTAGAGTTTTATTTTTGATTTCTCAAACAAAACAGTGTAGTTTGAAATATCAGGCAGAATTTTAATATTGGTCCATCTCTACTTTAAACATTTGTGGTGCTGCTGCCTTTGCTTTCTACTGCTTGGGTTACGGCTTTGCTTTCTAGGTTTCTTCCATGGAACCTGGGCTTTTGTTAGCCTGAACTTACTAATGAAGCAGTTTGAAGTTCTATGGATTGTAAAGGAATAGATGTTGAGATCAGGATGTTCTGTGGATAAGCTGAGAGCAGCTCCAGTCAGAGTACAGAGGTGCTGGTGCAGCTGCTATAAGCCTGGCTTAAACCCAGCACAACAGCTGCGCTAGACTCCCATCAGGACAAGGCCGTCCAGGTCAGTCCGTTCAGTATGCTCATTCACACGGCACTCCCCCAGCTGTCTCACAGCAATGCTTGTGCACACAAAGACACACACAGAAACCGCACGTGTGCTGAGGAGCACACGCAGGACAAACACATGCGGCCACGCGACGTGCCCTACGCGGGTCAATTGCTAGATCAATCAGAACTGTTGCATGAGGGTGAGCAAAGTTTGTCAATGTACAGGGCTTGACATTTCTATCTATTGGTCGATCTGTCTTTTATCGATACACATTGGATCAGGTGTGTAATTAATGCTTTGTTCAAGGTATTTTATTATTCCTGTACTGCCACAGAGAAATAGTTTTGAGACATCTAAAGTATTCTGGGAGATGGGTCCTGAGGACTAGACTTGAGAAACTCTGGTCTTGTCTATTGATGTCTTGTGTGCTGATGATTGTTTTCCTGAATGTTGAGATGTTTTTTTGGTGTACCTTAATAATTCAGCAATGAGCAACCCTGTCTTAATTAGGGGTGGGGTAAAAAATCGATTCTCGATGCATCGCGACATTTTAATGCTGTCAATTAATAGAACCAGGTGCATTTGCATTATAATGCAACAAAATTGCTTTTGAAAAAAATGTAAAGTTTATACATTTAAAGATAATGAGTTGCCTAAGTAGTAGACAACAAGCATGTTTGCATGTCCTCACTAACCATCATTATATTTTCAATGAATAGCCTATCAAACAAATAAAAAGTGCAATTAATACCAAAATGTTGCTGCTGCTAATATAATCATATGTTGGTCTAGTGTATTTTCGTTTACTGTTGTGAAATGGAAAATCAATAATCGGTAATCGAGAATCGTTAATAATCGAAAATCGACTGTAATCGAATCGGGACTTCAATAATCGTAATCGGATCGAATCGGGAAATCAGACAGATTAACCACCCCTAGTCTTAATACATTTTACATGTTGCTCTGAAACTCAGGGGTCCCATGAGAATGATGGGTAGGCAGCACACATGGTGTAGAAATGGAACCATCTGCTCATTCCTCTACCCCCTTCTGAAACCAATGCTTATCCCCCCCTTCCCACACACACACACACGCACACACACGCCACCCCTCGCAAGACATCCAATAAAACTACCCTCGGAACTTCAATCTTCCCATATCTCACACAAGCACATGGGCATTTCTTACTCAAGGCAGTTGGCATGGAGGCCCACAATCAAGTCGGACTGGCATTCCGGCTGCGGGGTTGGAAACTCTGAGTTGCCGCACAGGCTACTCTGAAATGATTTAACCAAGAGGAGCGCGTCTGCGTCATATTTTCAACTCGCTGCCTTGTGTGAATTTAACCCAGAACCTGAGGATTGGGGACTAGAGTGTTTTGCTATCAGCCCTTGTACTGGAACTGGGATCATGTACTGGGAACTGTGGATCAGTCAGCTGACCAGGACTGGGAAGCACTGCATGCTGGTTAGGAATAAAGGTAGGGCTACAAGTATCTGGCGAATTCGGGTTTACCATTCAGGCATTAACTGTCTCAGCTGTTTGTTTGTTGTGTATTACCTGGCAGAAGACCAGTCGTTGTGTTGGCTTGGCTTGTGTCTTTTATGCATGATGATTGTTTTATGATGAGTTAAATTTATTATCCTGTTGAACTGTTGATATTAATTTTGCATTAATATACATTTTTAGGGCTATTGGTTCACTTGTGTCTAATCCAGTATGTGCTTGTTTGTTTAGGTATTGATTATGCTTCATATTGACTGTACGAGTTTGTGGATCTTAATTAGTGATGTCCAAAACTACACAAAATTGACCTATTGATGTGTTGCTCAAACTACTAGCTTACTAAATGGTAGCTCTGTGCTGTTAGCCTGGTTTTAGGTTCTACTGTATATGCTAAGAATCTCAACATTGCATTTGAAATATATTATTCTTTGCATATACCGTATTGTTCAAACGGTAAAGTGGTGGTATAATGCCCCTTTTCACAAGCTGTAAAATAAGTGTCTGATGTCCCCAGAGTGTATTTTTGCCAACGTCAAAATAATTATTTGTTTATTGATATCAGCCAGAACTAAAAAAATGAGTCCATCTAGTTGGTTTTCGAAGGACTAGTTGACCATTGTATTTATCATGATGGACTTGCTGTTGCTGTTGAGTTTGTGATGCAAGCTGAGGATAAATAATTTGGCTGTTGCTCTCGCCAGGCATTCAGCATATGAAGTTGGTATGTTAAATACAAGTACCTTGGGAATATGGCAATCATATTATATATGAGATTCCGTGGTATTGCCTTTGATACCACCCCTGCCCTGTACCATGATAACACCACATTAGTTTTGAAAAGTTAAACCTAATCAAGCCAAATCTTGCAGGCAAAATGTGTTCTCTAATGATTAAAGCGAGTTTCAGAACTTTTCTCCTCTATCCTTCTCAAGTTTGGTCTTGCCGCTCTTTTCCCTAAGGAAAGGGGCAGCTGCCCAGACATGCTGTGTGTGTGTGTGTGTGTGTGTATGTGTGCGTTTGTGGCTGGTTGACAGCTGTAAAGGAAGACCAGCAGACGCAGACATGCTGAAGGCGTGGAGACTCTCCCACAAAATTTTTCCAACCTCAAAGCAGTTTTATGCTCCTCCCCATCTTAAAATCTTGCTTAAGAGTCAAACCCTTTCAGATAAAATCAGAACCCTCACCAAATCAGGTGTGTGTTGTGTTGCATGTGAGATTAGCCTATATATTAATCTAGTTCTGCTAGATTATGCCATTGAAGACCCTGCTGTCCAGCAGCAGTTTTGAGGAAGAGAGGGCCAGGCTGACCAACCAGTCCAGCCTAGAGGATGTGGACCACTATTGCTCCGCAGGTAGCCCCTTCTTTTTTAACTGGCAGGTCTCATAGCCTGTGCTGCGCTGGTGCCTTGATTTTCAGTGAGTTTATGCAGGATTTCAGGTCGAGGGTTGTGTTTTTGTTATGGTCAATGTAGAAGCTTTTACTCGGTCAAATTATTTTCTCTTGGGGTTTTTCCAGTGCTCATCTGCTTTTCACAGTTTGGAGTGTTTCTAATAGATCAATACTTAATGTTAACATGGCAAAATGGATGTGGCAGTGTAGATTATTTAAATATGGCCCAATTGGCCATATATAATTAATGCAAGTTTTTAGATTTGCATTAATCATATATGAATTCAGGTTGATTTGGACACTTTTTCCAAGTCAACTCAATGGCAAAAAGTGTCTGATTTTGAAAAAGTGATCATAAAGTCAGGTGTGACGCAAGGAGCAGTGATGCCACTATGAATCACATTCCTTGTTTTCTCTCTGCGTCACATGGTTGCGGTTTCTTCACTTCTCTGCTCCCTCTCCACCTTGACGTTCGTCAACGTTTTTTCTGAAACCTCACCTCTCTTATATTGCTTCATTTTGCCCTTCCCAGAGGCTTTGTCTCATTTGAGATGTCACACATGTTACCTGTTATTCATCTAGCGTCTTTATGTCTCTTTCTTCCTGACAGAGGCCCTGCACAGGCCGTTTGGACTGGACTCGACGGCACTGACTGAAGCGGTGCGCTGGAGCTCCAAGGAGAATCTGTTGGGCGCTGCAGAGAGTGACCCGAACCTCTTCGTTGCTCTTTACGACTTTGTTGCCAGTGGTGACAACACGCTGAGCATCACGAAAGGTACGATCGTCAAAAGGGTACGAGTGGGCTTGGTTTCATTGTTCACTTTGTACACAAATGAAAAACCAGATTGCATCGGTAGTGTAACCTCAAATGTGACCCAGGACCAAATATAAATACCTGGAATAAACAAGACCGGAGAGTGTTTTTACAACCATTATTGATAACTTCCTCCCTTTTTGTAACAAGGACACCATGCTATTATCCTTCCATCGTTCTCCTTCCTCTTTTCTCGACTTCAGATCTTTGTTGTTTCTCTTCCCAGCAGCACTTTGTAGGATCAAAGCACAAAGAACTAGGCTAAAAATGAAAACGGAGGCTGAAGTTTGTGTTTTATGTAGCTGAGAAGCATGAACACATGGACACCAACCTGAGCCATATGCACTAACGCCCATAACTCTTTCCAGCGTGTTGTAATTGACTTTGGAGCATGAGTCTCAGATGCTTCATGCTGAATGGCCACTGCTAACGCTAATGTCTGTTTTAAAGTGTAATCCCGTCAGCTGGGTGAAAAGCAGGTGGGTAAACACAGACTAGCCAAGAGAAGATAGTTCAGAGAGAGGGAGTTAGCGGCTTGTTCTTTCTCTCTGAAGTAGCCGGTAATGGCCAGTAATGTAATGTCGTCTGGTTGGCACCACCGCGCCAGTCTCTTCTTGTCTTGTCTTGTCGTGAGGGCCTTGTTGCCGCGCCAGTGTTAGTTTAGGATTAGCAAAAAACCACTTGCTGTCTGAGAGCTAGTGGGCCGAACTCTTGTTTCACTGACATAATGAGAGCGCCCTCTACTGGACCAATGCTTGATGGATCACAACAAGGTGAAGGAACAGCAGGAAGGACAGCGTAAATAAAATAAAAATGTGTGTATTTTATTAAAAAGATGCATTAAATTGATCAAAAATGACACTATATGACATTTATTGTGTTACAAAATATATTACGGTTTCCACAAAAATATGAAATATCAAAAGATATCAATACGAAATGTTTCTTAAGCAGCAAATCAGCATATTAGAGTGATTTCTGAAGGATCATGTGACACTGATGCTGAAAATTCAGCTTTGTCATCACAGAAATAAATTAGATTTTAAAATATGTTAAAATAGAAAATAATTAATTTTTAAATTGTCATTCCACTATATTACTGTATATATATATTCATATAAATCCTGCTATGATGAGCATAAGTGACTTCTTTCAAAAACATTTTAAAAAATCATAACCAGCCCCGAATGTTTGAACAGTAGGTGTATATGAATATATAATATTTTTATTATAAAAAATGATGTATAATCATTTATATTATTTCATTTACTTTATCTAAATTCGGCAACAGAAATACACAAACATTAATTTGGTCCTGGCATGTTTTTCAACGGCACTTTGACAGCTTAAACGCAATGATTCAACACTACGGAGAGGATTTTTTCTTCTTCAAACAGTCAGAGGAAGGACGGCTCAATGGAACAGAACACATGACTCTTGAGATGTTTTCAAAAGTGCTTTTCAAGGCATATCTTGTAAAATAGCTATTTTTTAACATGTAAAAATGTGGCACAAATGGTGATGTGATGCAGCCAAACATGTCCTTCTACTTCTCTGCCGCCCGCCACTCTCAGGTGCCCTCAGGATTTGTTCAGATCTCAAAATATTTAAAATACTTACAAAATAAGACGCTGTTCTTCTTCTTGGTCTGAGCTTATGGGGCAAAACAGACGTTGATGTTTTTATGGACCTGTTGTGGCTTGCATTGACATTCCATTCCATTCAGATGTATTGACATGAATAACAAGGCTTTGCATGGCTGAAACATTGTGGTATATTTCTCATACCTCAATTTTGTATCTGTCTCACTTTTGCTACATTTTTGGTATTTCAGGAGAGAAGCTGCGAGTGTTGGGGTACAACCAAAATGGAGAGTGGAGTGAGGTCCGTTCGAAGAACGGCCAGGGTTGGGTACCCAGTAACTACATCACCCCCGTGAACAGTCTGGAGAAGCACAGCTGGTATCATGGGCCCGTGTCCCGCAGCGCCGCTGAGTACCTGCTCAGCAGCCTGATCAACGGCAGCTTCCTGGTGAGGGAGAGCGAGAGCAGTCCTGGCCAGCTCTCCATCTCGCTTCGCTACGAGGGACGGGTCTATCACTACCGGATCAACACCGCCTCTGACGGAAAGGTAGGGCCGCTTTCACTTTACTTTTGAAAGCAAAGGTCCTTTTGCTTGAAATCATTTACTAATTAAATTCACTCTTCTCTTATGTCTCAGGTCTACGTAACAGCTGAGAGTCGTTTTAGCACGTTAGCTGAGCTGGTTCATCATCATTCCACAGTGGCGGATGGTCTGGTGACCACTCTACACTATCCCGCTCCAAAATGCAACAAGCCAACCGTCTACGGCGTCTCTCCCATCCACGACAAGTGGGAGATGGAGCGCACCGACATCACAATGAAACACAAATTGGGTGGTGGCCAATACGGAGAGGTGTACGTCGGTGTTTGGAAAAAGTACAACCTCACTGTAGCTGTAAAAACACTAAAGGTGTGTGTTTTATGTTATATCATTGCTTACATATGGTCCCATTAGTTAACATGGGTAAATGCATCAACTAATATAAGTTAAAAATTAGCACAACATTCATTACTTTAGTCATATTTCTTAATGTTAGTTTATAAAAAATATAATTTTAGAAGTATTTTTTATTGTTTTATCATGTTAACTAATGTTAAGAAATTAAACCTCGTTTTAAACGAGTTTATGTGGTGTTGTGTGCCACCAAGAGGATGTCGATTAAATTGCACTCATGGATTTCTGTATTGTATTTCTATTGTTTGTTATTCAATACTATGTTGAATGTTTATACTGTTATATCACTTCGTCCTAAAGGAGGACACCATGGAAGTTGAGGAGTTTTTGAAGGAGGCTTCAGTCATGAAGGAAGTGAAACATCCAAATCTAGTACAGTTACTGGGTGAGTATACTAGGAATGTGCAAAACCAGCCCCTAATTCCCTTTAATATAGATAAACATTCATACAATTTCATGCTTGGTTGTCACGTTTTATTTCTTAGTACTAAAGTTCTGTCATAAAAACTAGGTAAAAACAAAAGGGTATCAGATATAATAAATACATACATACTTGTGCCTAATTGGTTAGTTCTGATGCCCCCTTGTAGGTGTGTGTACACTGGAGCCTCCATTCTACATAGTGACGGAGTACATGCCCCACGGGAACCTGCTGGACTACCTGCGTGAGTGTGACAGAGAACAGGTGAACGCTGTGGTGCTGCTCTACATGGCCACTCAGATCTCCTCCGCCATGGAGTATCTGGAGAAGAAGAACTTCATCCACAGGTGAGCAAAAAAAAAAGTTCCCTTTTTCTCATTGATTACATTGTTTTAACTTTTCTTAAATCCTATTGATTGAGAGATCTCGCTACAGCTTGTCAATCTTTTTCTCAGGGACTTGGCAGCTCGTAATTGTCTGGTTGGAGAGAATCACGTGGTCAAGGTGGCCGATTTCGGACTGAGCCGTCTGATGACAGGCGACACTTACACTGCTCATGCAGGTGCCAAATTCCCCATCAAATGGACAGCACCAGAGAGTCTGGCCTACAACACTTTCTCCATCAAATCAGATGTGTGGGGTCAGTTTCTTATTTCATTTTGTCATGAGGATTGTGTGTTGGAAGTTCTTTTACACTATAAAGAGTTATGTGTTGCAGACTGACTCACTTATTTACTTCAAACTCCCCAGCATTTGGAGTTTTGCTTTGGGAGATTGCGACGTACGGCATGTCTCCATACCCAGGAATCGACCTGTCTCAGGTGTACGACCTGCTGGAGAAGGGCTACCGCATGGAGCAGCCCGAGGGCTGTCCCCCTAAAGTTTACGAGCTCATGAGAGCCTGTGAGTATTGCAGTGTATATTCAAATAATGTGAAGTGTCATTCATTTTATATATATATATATATATATATATATATATATATATATATGGCCAAATATGGTAACCCATTACCACAACCAATGGTAACTATACTACCATTCAAAGGTTTGGGATCTTTTTTTTTATTTTTTATTTTTTTTTAGGTTTTTGAAAAAAACATCCCTTATCCTCACATAGGCTGCATTTATGCACATAAACAGTAATGTTGTGAAATATTATTTCAATTTAAAATAACTGTTTTCTATTTTATAGATTTTAAAATGTAATTTATTACAGTGGCAAAGCTGAATTTTCAGCCTCATTACTCCAGTCTTCCGTGTCACATGATCTTTCAGAAATTCAGAAAAATATGCTGATTTGGTGCTCAAGAAACATTTCTTATTATTTTCATTGTTGACAACAGTACTGCTTAATATTATTTTGTGGAAACCATGACATTGTTTTTCAGTATTTTTTGATGAACAGAAAGTTCAAAAGAGGAATCTTTTGTCACTTTTGATCAATTTAATGTAACCTTGCTGAATAATAAATATTAACTTTAGTTCAGTTCAGCAATTTTGTTATCCATGTGATGGAAATTTTTCTTCGTCTTCACTGTACAATACATACGTACACATTAAGAAAATAATCTGATAATTACTTAAAATAATCATCTCTTGCATTTCAAATTTTAACAGCGTTAGGCATAAAGAATAACTGATACACTTTTTCATTACCCGTGGTTGCCTATAACGCCTTCCCAATGGCAGGAATTGGACCTCACCATGAAGGGTGTGAGACACATCCTGTATTATCATTGAGGCATTTTGCATGGCTTTAAATACATTTATATCATTAAAATGTGTCTGCATCTGGCATATTACCTTACCTCATTTAAAATCTTGGACAAGTTATTTATTTAACTTATCTATTTATAACAAAATTCAGAATAATATATATATATACAGACCCCAAGTGGGGTAATGAGGGTTTCGGTCATTATGTAAATCCATATTTTGTTGTGTGTTGGCAGGTTGGCAGTGGAGTCCACTGGATAGACCCTCATTTGCTGAGATTCACCAGGCTTTTGAGACCATGTTCCATGACTCAAGCATCTCAGAAGGTAATATCACATCATCTGTTGTGAATGCCAGATGAAGCTGTAGACTGAGCAGACTTCATGCAGATCTTATACACTTGATGATTAAGCAGGGAAAACTCAATGCTTGAATGTCTTAAATGATAAATTACTTGGGTGCAGTTTGCTTTGACTTTACCATTGAAAGTGACTGAAATAAAGTTGAGGGTAACATTTAGAAAGATTTGACCCTTGATACGTTTATGTAAAACACAATATTAACATGCACTTTATCTCTGCTAACTCTTCTCCAGAGGTAGCCGAAGAACTGTGTAAAACCGCATCTGGTGGGCAATGTGGGCTCGCACACGCCTTCGGCCACGATATGCCACTCTTGCCCTCAAAGTCTCGTTGCCCGAAGAAACACTCTGAGAACAAAGAGAATATGGAAGACGCAGGACCCCATGGCCCTGCAGGTATACAGACCCAACTCCGGCTCAGTCGGCTCAGAAAGAAACTCAAGAGAATGGGAGTGGTGTTCCTTATCGATTAACATAGATAACAGTATATAAGCCTACATATATTCACAAACATAGGAATATTAAAAAGTTAAAAAAATAAAAAAATGTTATATCCTGTATATCCCTTCTTTTATTTACATATGTTCAAAATGTATCATGAACAGATGACTGACATGTTCATAAACATTCCTAACAGATTTTCACTCTCATGTTTTGATCATTTTTCTGTAAATACATCTGATTTCATTCTATTGATGGTTTGTTCCCATTTTCTGCATGTCACTAAACCCCAAGTATGCACTTAAGCACTTCACCAACTGCATGTGTACCTATATTCTGATTAAAATCTGTTTAACCTTACTCACAATTAAAGGAATTTATGTATTGTGCAATATTGTTTTTCTACTCAACTATTTGTGTTATTTATTGAAATTACATAGTTTATGCAAAATAAACTTTTAAGGTGGGAATGTTTTTTTTACATTTTTTTTGTAAAGCTGCCTCTATTTGTCATGTTTTTTTAAGAATGCTAACATATTTTGTATTCCAATTTTTGTAATTATTGTCCTATCTTTTGGACAATCTTACCGTCCCCTACATATCAAGTGATACACTCTCTATATTGCAAATATCTGGACACCCTGTTTGTCACAGGACCTGTGAAAAATACATTAAAAATATCTCGGCCCACTCATGAAACATTTTACCCCATGAATTAAAGAGACCGCCCTGGTCTAGTGTCAGGTCATGTCATTTGAATTATGAGAGCAAGCAGCTCATAGGCACACAGTTTCTTTTACAAAAGTATATGCAAGGTTAGATTATATAAAATTACAATGTTGGTTGTAGGCAGAGGTATAGTGCAAAGGACTGAATGTTACTGTGATTTCAAATACCACTCCATACCACTGTGCATTACTCTTATGTTTATATTTGATACATTTGCATGAGGCAAAGCCATTGGTAACAATGTAATGAATTAAATAGTAAATTTATAGTCAAGCAATCGCAATGTGACAATAAAATCTGTGCGCTGAATAATCATGTAAGCAAGTGTTCCGTGGTGAAACAAGCCATTTAAATATGAAAGCGCACAAGTATGAAGTTTGCATGTCAACTACTACCTCTTATTTTGCTTCTCGTTGACCTTTGGTTCTGTTGTCCCATTGTGTTCAGGTCTTGCAGCATCCCTTTTTGTCGGTGATGGACGCTTCAGCAGCTCTCCGGCCCTTCCACGCAAACAGAGGGATAAGTCTCCCTCTAGCCTGCTGGAGGACTCCCAGGACACCACCTTCACCCGTGACCGCAAAGCTGGCTTCTTCAGTTCTTTCATGAAGAAGAAGTCCATGTCCTCATCTTCTACTTCATCCTCACCTCAGCAGCAGCAGAATCTCCCAATGCCACCCAAGAGGAGCAGCTCTTTCCGGGAGATGGAGACCCAGCCCCATAAAAAGTATGAGCCCACGGCTGGGTTTGCAGGCCCTCCTCCTTTGCCCCAATCTGATGGGTTGAGTTTCTCTCCATCTCATGGTGAGGGGAACCACGTGCAGTCCCGCTGTTGCGGGGCCGCGTTCGGGCAGAAGCCCTCGTGTTCGAACTCTGGAGCGACCTCTGGTCAAGTGGGAGGCAGCAGTAGCTGGGGAAGCCTAGCGGGCTTCTTCACCCCTCGCCTTATCAAAAAGACCTTGGGATTGCGGACTGGTAAGCCTTCTGGGATAGACGAAGGGAGTGGAACCAAGCCGTTCCCTCGTTCCAATTCAACTTCCTCTATGTCTGCTGGGTTGCCAGACTTAGAGCGCATGGCATTGACATTACCAAGAAACCGTAGCAAACCCCCACTAGAGCGCACAGCTTCCACCACCTCACAGCCAGAAAACGGGGCAGCGCGACCTTCGGACGCAATCCTGAGGAAGCTTGACGAAGGTACGGCTCAGATACGGGATCGTCCCAAAGCCAAACTCTTGCCACGAGGGGTGGCAGGTGGAGTTAGGGCACCAGGTGTAGGGGGAGAGACGGATTCGGACTCCAATGCACGGGGGAAAGATGGGCAAGACGACAGGCAAGGTTGGTCGTCTCCATCGAAAACCTCCACTCTTGGTTCAGTCAATCTGCACAACCACAAAGTCCCGGTTCTGATCTCTCCGACCCTAAAGCACAGCTCGGCCGACGGCCTAGTTGGCGTGGACTCTCAGGGCAACCGCTTCAAACTGCTGTCTGACAGTGGGGATCGTGACCGACCACGACTGGTAAAGCCGAAATGTGCACCTCCTCCACCGCCCATGCTCCGCTCCCTCCAACACACCTACAGTGCCGATGCAGCCGACGAAGCAGTCAGTGGGAACGTGGAGGTCAATGGTGATGGCCTCAAAAGGTCAGGGAGAGAAGCCAGAGGGGCGCGTCCATCCATACCACCACCGCAAGTGCCTCCAGCTCACACAGTCCCCACTAGCAACACCCAGACTAAGTTGGCCAATGGTTCTTCCAGTGGCGGACCTGGCCCTACTTCTGCTAAACCCACCCTTAGAAGGACTCGGCAGCAGACAGAACGGATCCCCCTGGAGAAGATCAGCAAGGAGGCTCTTTTGGAATGTGCTGAATGCTTGAGTAGCGCTCTTCAAGGCAACAGTGAGCTTTCTTCCAGCAGCCAGGTGTTGGATGTGGGACACCAACTTTTGGACTACTGCTCGGGGTATGTCGACTGCATCCCACAGACGCGTAATAAGTTTGCCTTTCGCGAGGCTGTGGGTAAACTGGAGTTGAGTCTACAGGAGCTGCGTGCTTCCTCTGCGGGACTAGGGGCACCTGGGACCAGCCCGGCTCTTGACAACTTGCACACGTGCATTAAAGAGATCAGTGATGTAGTGCAAAGGTAGCCACTGTGTCTGCTACACCTTCCAAAACTCCTCCTCCTGTACCCCTTGAAACTTTTTTTGCCCCAGAATCAATCTAGTTTTATTTAAATTTTGGGGGACAGAGATTATTCTCAAAAAAGTACCTCAGAAAATGAATACAAACATACACACACTCTCTCTCTCTCTATCTTTATTGTTTACAGGTAACTTTCTCATTGAAATTGCCAGTTGGGAACAGAGTTCTTTGTATATAAGCTTTTTGTCAATACCAGAATACACATGGTTTTGATTTTGACAAATTAACTTTGTAATTAATATTTACAGCTTTATCTTGGTATGACACAAACGGACAGGGGTTGCACAGGTTAAGGTGAGCCGACTACACGCTGACTGGTCCACTTTTGTATTTAGATCAACTTTTTTGGTTCTTTAATTTGCATTTGATTCACAGTAACTGGATATTGCATCAGAATGTCAGTGCAAACTTGGAAATGCCATTTAAAACGTGAATCAATTTTGCTTCTTCAGAACATAAAGTAGTAATGAATGTGGATTGCGAACACAGACAAGCTCTATACACATTTGTTCTGTCTCATTTTACACACTTACATACTGTCATTTTTAATTTGTCCCCATTTGTTAAACACTACAGCATCTGATGACCATTGATGATTTTGTAATTAGCCTTTATTTCTATATGGTCCATGCATTGTAGTTAGTAGTGGTTTGCTGTGGCATAGTTGAAATGGTGTTGGATCTGTCACCACATGGATCATGTTTGGCCTTTTATATCTGTGGCCTTTAGATAATTCCCCCATTAGCAAGATGGCACAGAACTGCATTCTATATTCTACATTTTATAGATTTGCAATGGGGAAATTATTTGATGTGTGGATAGTCTGGATTTATTTTATGATGACTACGTCATATTGCCAAAACAGAAGCAGCAACACTACAAATACAAGTATTGCCAAGTCTTTTAACACAAACTGCATTTTCTTTAGCACATTGATTTGTAATTTTATTTCCATTTCACTTTAGAATGTCGCCATTTGTAAACTTGAATTTTAAGTTATTTTCTATTAAAAGCACAGGCATTTTTATGATATTGTAGATATTGCTTATTATTTTATACCCACAAACAGGCGTGAAAGGTCATACTGACTTGTGTCCTTGTGGTGAGGTTTTGGTGTGAGGGTCTCGGTCTCCATCTGTGCATCTACATTATGAATGTATTCATTTGTTAGAAACAGGAATGTTGTGTGTGTGTGTGTGTGTGTGTTGCATAGTCTCCCTTCACATCATTTAAAAGAAGCATTTTCTTCAGGACACAAACGGTTTCATGTGAGTCTGTATACATGAAATGATAGATTTATATTAGAATTTGCATAAATGAGATTTTTGTGGGTACCCTGCAATGTCATAAATAAAATGTAATGAAGCTGATTTGTACCGATTACACTGGAGCACACTTTTAAAATATAAATGTTAATTGCCTTGCCATAATTCATCATCTGGTGTATGTAATATAGATGAGATTGTTTTGCCATGACATTTCAGTTCCTCTGCAGCAGAAATACATACCGGTTGTTTGTTCAGAACAGTTTTTGTTACTCTAGATCACAGCATAATTTGCCTACACTAACTCTGCTTGTTTTGCCATTTTTTTCCCTGCCATGCTGGGCAATGTTTCCTGATATTACATGGTGCCTTTTGTGAGAGATTTAATGTTTTGTGCACTGCAAGGTCATGTTAAAGATATGTTTATGTAAATATATTTTGCTCTCAAATATTCAAAATCAACTTTAAGGTGGCAAATGGAAATTTTGAAGCCTTTATTATCATTCGAGCTACCTTGCTTAGACGATGTGAGGTGTCCAACTTGAATAGGAAAAAGTGCAATGATCTGTCCTTTAATAAGAAAAAGATGGTGCTTGAAGTCTGGTCTTATGTTACTGAGAGAGCTCATCAATTTCTTTTGCTTTGTCAGGAATGCCTCTCTTGTAATCACAGAAAATATTTTTCATGTGTGATTTAGCAGTTCTCTTTCAAACACATGCAGGTTGTCTATTCCATTTATTATGTCTGAAAATGTTTCATTACCAAACAACTGAGGGGGGAAAAGAGTGACTGTTTCGTATGTCTGTTTTACACGATTGTCAGGGAGCGTTTTGCCTTTTAAACATTTTAAAGTAAAACAGCTGGTTGTTTTTCTTTCATTGCCACTTATCACCGCAATTTGTATTTTAACTTTTTTTTCCCCATTGCTATAATCAGTCAATTTTATTTTAGTAAATTGCCAAACCTCTGAAAGTTTGTACATTAAATAATATTTGATTGTATCATGTATTTAGGAACAATTCAGAGAGAACTATCTTGTCCCAATAGTTTATGCTTTATGAGCCACACACCCGTTTGTCTCACAAATATAATCATCAGAATTGAATTTTTTTTCAGTTTAATTTTAATTACCCAAGATTGTGCATTTTTTTTTTTATTTTACATTTTTGTTTGTCACTTTTATTTATTTTTGGTTTATTTATTGAGCTACTTTTTATGTTGAATCCTGGAACTCGCATTCTTTGGAGACATTTTGTAAGGTCAGATTTTAAGTGCTGAAGAAATTTATATACCAAAGGCCACCTCTCTAGTCCTTCAAGTGCAATGAAAATAAAACACTCTTAATTTTGAATATGTGAATTTAACAGGGATTAATAAGGCAGAGGTTGACAGATCAACAGTATTTTTTTCTGTTTTGTAAAAAGTATATTTTGTGTGATTCTAATTTAAAGCTCACTTTTAATAGTATATTACTGTGAAGTCCTTCCTCAGTGTTACACTTGATGTAAATAATGAATAAAGAAACTGTTGAAACATTGGTTTGAGAGTTTGTATTATCTTTTTTTTTTATTTAGTACTGTGGTGTGCTATGCGTCAATCTGAGACTGTAAAACATTTCATGAAACAAAACAAACACAGCTCAAATTATTTGTCAATTACCCAAGTTTTTAGTTACCCAAAGCGATTTAGTCGCTTTATATGATGAACAGAATTACTTAAGGCTTTTATTCATATATAAACATTAATCAGCGAACATAAAACAGAAGCTCAATGGTAGTTGAACAAACTAAGGGTTGCTGGATTAGTTTCGAGTTGACAAAACCAAACCAATCCAACCAGGCTTTCTTGGTACCATGATGCTGATCATCAACTTTCTCTGTCAACTCAGGCTTTTATTCAGAGTTTAGGAGTTTAGGTGTGACATCAGTAGCGTGAAACTCATTCAAAACTCATTGAAATTAATTTCCTGCTGGAGAAGTAGCGTAATTCACTTAAATAAAAGTATTAAAATATTAAGAATTTAAACAAATTTACACAGCAAGAAGAAAATAGCTGTCTGTGAAAGAGGACAACTAAAGGAAAGTCTCGCTACTGTATATCAGTGCAAGTAAAAGTTGTGAAGTTAGTTTATAGGGTTGATAAAGGTATAGAGAGAATTGAAGATTTAAGCTCACATGTAGTCATTTTATAGCTTCATTTATTGATTCTAAAGCACATTTAGATTACCTTTATATATGTATTCATTTAAAATCTGCGTAATAATAATTGATTAACTGAAATTATACATGTGAGATTGTTTTAGGGTACAATAATTACAGAAATAATCTCTAAATCATACAAATTTATTTACTAAAAGCGCTGTTTTTGTCTTTTAAAATAATTTGCTGTGGAGTAACTTTATCGCATCATAACTGTGTCACTTTGCTCACAGGTGATTGGTCCAAGTTCGGTTTGCAACCTCTTACCTGGAACATAACCTGTCCCGGACCAGGTTAGCCGTGGAGTGTAAGTTACTATGGCGATGAACACTGCTAAAAGCCAAACCACTTTCATTGTACCTATAACTCAGGGTTGGCACAAGCTGAACTGAAACATAGCTGGCTAGCCACCTAAACAGGCTTCATGGTATAGGCCCCCGGTTTAGGTGGCTAGCCAGATATGTTTCAGTTTAGTTTGAACTCTCAGCATCTCAAAAACGCCACGCTGATATTGATCCTAATTTCAGTTCTCCTTGTTTGTCCAAAAGTCTGCTTGCCATGGTCTATGTTTGAAAGAAACAAGAACTGCGTGCTGCTAAAGGTTACACACTATGCAGTTGTCCATGTCTGTCGCCATGGTTACGTCATGCTATGGCAGTATGAACGGAAATCGAGGAAAGCACGGATATTGCGTCATTGACAGGAGCCTTTTTTTCCCGGGACGACCACTTATTTAAAATCGGAATTTCTCTGAAATACTAAATCTTTGGAGACTTTTGGGATATTGTAAGTACACAATATTGTATTACAAAAATCTTACATATTGTACCTTTATGTTTTTACCAAGGGCCAGCAGGTTTCAATTACAATAGAAGCTTATGGAGGAGTGAGACAGACAACTCTCAGATTTAATCAAAAATAGCTTAATTTGTGTTCCGAAGATGTAGGAAAGTCTTACGGGGATGGAACCACACGAGGGCGAGTGACCGACATAATTTTCATTTTTGAGTGAACTATCCCTTTAAGACTTGAGGCAACCCACTGTACCTTGACTGACATTTGTCAAGTTGTATCTTCAACAGGACATTATGGACTTTTCTGTCATATTAATTATTTGATAAATTAAATGAATGTAACGATACAATAACATAGAGTGAGTTTTTTGGTTTTTCCTGTGCTCAGTAGTTGTGTGTAATTACTTTCCCTCTCCACTTGCAGGCTCTGACGGGTAAGAGGCGCTATTGGACAACCACAACCCTCCATTTCCCCGCGGCAGAGGCGCATTGTTAGTCGGAAATGGGAAAACCCTGAGCCGTGAGGTTGTCGCTGCTGGCTTCACTGGAGTATAGAGAGTTACACGACGGCAAAGAGAGGGAAGAACAAGCAACCCTGGAGTTTTATGCAGCGGAGACGTTAGTTCTTGGAGTTTTTCGCCATGAGCTGGGGAACGGATCTTTGGGTAAGCGCACTTTTCCCCATTGCCCGTTCTTTGTGGCCTTTTGTTCACTCACAAAACAACTCGGGTTTTGGCATGACTTCAGGAAAGGTGTCCTAGTCAAGCTGTCTGTGTGTTCTCGGTCTGTCCTGTTGGGTTTACTGTGTCAGTACACCTTTACCGCCAGCAATAATGCGAGAGTTTGATACATTATAAGATTTCGCTTTTCGAATGTATACCAAGTTTTAAATGTATCACGCGTGACGTTTCATATCATTCTCTTGACATTCCAAATGAAACCTAATGTAACTTAAAGGATTCACACCCAGTTTCGATGACTAAGAGCTGGGGAGAGGATCATCTTCTATTAACTCGTTTTTTTTCGTGTATAATAGAGATAATATATGTATTATTAATTTAATATAGCTTCAACAACAGCTTCTTCCAGCAGTCTCCAGGATATGTGTCCATTGTTGCTTATTGGTGACAGAATGCTGAAGATGATGTGCTGTTAAATGAACCTTCTAATGTGTTTAGATCTACGGGTTGACCATTGGCACCACGTTTGCAGTTTGATGCCACATTTTATTGTCTGGGCTTCAAGTCTGCCATGTTCCAATGGCACACTGGCCTTTTAAATAATAATAAAAAATGCATCGTTTCGGCATAAGATGAAGTATTGGGAGACAATAAAGCCCGTCGAGTGTGTGTGGGTCTGTTACAGGGGTGTTGCCCTTCAGATTGGGCTACTGGACAAAAAGCAGAGGATGTGTGAGACATTGCTAGAAAGATCACATGTCATCAGGGTTTTTTGAGGATAATAGATTTAAACGGTGGTTTAAGCGATGTTTTAGATACAACTTTACTTATGCACGGGGTTGCATTTGTGATTGATCATCCAGATTAATAACTGGTTTTGTTGTTGCTGTGTTTGTGTGTGAGTATGTCAATGAATTTAGGTTTAGGTGTTCTTATGACAGTGTAACTTGGCTCGTACTAGTAATAAAGTTAACTCAGTAATTAAGAGATTTTACTAAAAGGTTTTTGTTAAAGATTCTGTTTTTTATTTGAATATACTCTGGGTTCATGACCTTTTGGTTACAAAGTAGCTGGTTTCAAACTGGTCCAAGCTGATCATTTTCTGGCTCATAATTAATGCGTCCAAAAAAAACCCAACAGTTTGACCACCTTAAGATCTTATGACCAGCTGGTAACTGCTGAGAGAAGGTCTGCCTGTTTCAACAATCTAAAGAACAGCTAGAATCCAAATACTGTTTCAAAACACAACTACCATGTTATGCTGGAAAATCCAGTTTTTTTTTTGTGTGTGTGTGACTTTCATAACTCATTTATTCCTACAAAGAAGGGCAGTTGTGAAATTAAGACGTCATTAAAGAAATGCCAAAGACTTTCGTTCTAGAATGTGAGAACTGTTGGGGTGAGTGTTGTTTTTAACAAAATCATGAACAAGAGTGCTGTAAGAATTACTAGCAAATTGACTAATTATACTGTCCAATGGACATTGGACTTGTTAGATTGAACATATTCCAGAGTTTTTACGTGTGGCTGGATGTTTGGTGTTGGACATCCGATACTGTCTGTTTGCCCTAAATATGGTTTGAATTGGCTCTCTTAATTTCTCACACCGTAAATCCCTTATGTTGTGAAGTATGGCATATCCTCCTCATTAGAAATGGCCTTTTGTAGATTGCATTCATCTCTAATCCCTTTGTACATGGAACATGCTGAATAATGAAGTTGTCTGTTTGACTCATGGTATGTCTTTTTAGTCATAATGGACGTATTTCCATCCTTAACCTTGGCTCTGAGCAAGCAGCAACATTGTAATCTGAATGTTTACAATTTTTTTTTTTTAAACTCGTTAGTTTAGATCGTATAGAGTGCCGAAGTTTTGACGTCACTTTGTTGGACAACTCAAGTTATTGGCGCATGGGTTCCCTTGATTAAAAAAAGCTATGCATTTTCCCCATAGACTTTTGGAAAATCGCTAAAAATAAGATCTGTGTTCAACAAAGAGTTGTGACCCTTACACGTTTTGTCTTTCAAGATAATCCAAAATGTAGACATTTTAAACCATATATAAAGTTTTAAAAAACACAGACACAATAAAGTTTAAAAACCCACACGCAGGTTATAACTGGTGTTTTCTATGTCATAGATCAAAACGTGAAATTATTTCAAGGCTTTGTTAACCATAGACCTTATTTCAGGCGATTTAGCAAAAACCCATTCAAAAAAACCTATTTTAGGGCGAAGGAACCGGAAGTGCTAAAATGCTAACTCACTTCCGCGTTTGGCCTACAAAGTGACATAATTCCCAATTCTATTTAGATATAAAATATATGACAAATAAGGGCGTGGTTAACTTTAATTGACAGCTGATAACGGGCTGCGCCGAGTGGAATTCCTGAAATTTGACGTCTCGGCCATGATCTGACACAACACATCATACCACCTCTGTATCCTTTCTGAACATTTGTATTGAAATAACGGACATAAAATGGGTTGCTCTGATATAAACTACACTAATTGACATACCGGCGCGGCGGCGCCGCCCATACCCCCCATAAATGGCCTCAAAACCGTTATTCAGAAAGTCTATGGGTGACCTCAGACGTTTTGTCCATTTGTTTTTTTCAGTCTATGGCTCTGATGAATGAAATGCCATTCAATCCCTTAAATTCTTGTGCTTTTTTTCATCATGGTTCTCCTTAAATGCACTTGTGCTCTTAGAGACATTAAAACTCAATTAATATTTTTAATGTCCCTCATTATTTGGGTATAAGTATGGCGTGATGCCTTGGGTGTGATCAGTTTACACCTTTCATAATTGCCCAATTGTAACGCATAATAAGAAAACGCCTTGAGCATAAGTCAACTTGTTAGTTCTGAGTATCATGGAGGTTATTTGTGTGACCTTTTTGCTGTCTTGTGCTTTTATTAGTGCAAAGCGATATGAACGCGGATGGACTTGAGCTGTGAGGGGTTGTGTACTTAAATCAGTGTAAGGAAGGTCAAAGAGCCTGATTGAAACTTAATGACACAATGCTCAACTGAGTACAGGAAACTGACATTTACCAGTTACTGACATAACCCTTGCTATTATTAAAGGACAAGTTTGGTATTTTACACTTAAAGCCCTGTTTTAAGAAGGTTTCTGATGAAATGGAACGGTCAAGATTGAAATTTGGACACATGCTGCTGTGGTTGCACCCCCCCACCTCCACAATGGTTGCATAGGTGCACAGTTTTTTTTTTGTTTTTTTTTTGTCCCAAGTCAAGTCAATGGAGTTTTTTTTTTTTTACATTCCCTAAAGTTATTTATTTGAAGCCTGCATGATGATTTCAGGGTAGTTGCTGCACAGATCTACTAGTGTTTTGTAAGTTGTACACCACTGTATGACCAAATGGAGCGCATGGACTGAACTGTGTGTGTGCTTTTAAAAGAATTGTTAACAGGGCTTCGATGTGGTGATTCAGTCTTTTGTAGAGCAAACTAGTTAGACCTGTTACAGTGCTCGCAAGCCTTGTATAGTAATTGTTTAGTTCATGGGTTTTGTGTGTTGTAGTGTTTTGGGTTTCAAAAATGAATTGAATTAGATAATGTCAACCAACCAGAATGTAAGTAGATGAAAAGACTTTCTTTTTCTATGATCCTTCGATCCTTTCTATGAAAATATTATATGTTTTAAAATGTAATTTTTTGAAAAAACATGATCATACTGAAATCATTTAATATGCTGATTTTAATGTGTATATATATATATATATATATATATATATATAAAACATTTGAAAAGTTATGATTGAGAACTTTGTAAGTGTACAGACCGTTTAATAAGAACATACTTTATGAAGACAGTTCACTTCGCGTATACAGACAGGAGCCATCTTAAAAAATAGTCTCGATAAGTCGATCCCCGAACGCCATCAGAAGTTCGCTGAACTTCATACAGTTCAGATCACTCAGCACGACGTTCGTGGTTTGACTTGTCGAGACTATTTTTTAAGATGGCTCCTGCCTGTATACACGAAGTGAACTGTCTTCATAAAGTATGTTCTTATTAAACGGTCTATACACTTACAAAGTTCTCAATGCTTCGTTTTGCATGTGTGGAGCCTCATTATGTTACTGCGTTAGTGTGGGGCTATTTTGAGCCTTGTTAGTGGTATAAACTAGCGATTTCTTCTTACTTAGTCAATGCCCCCATTACTAGCATTATACGCTAAACAGTTTTTAGAGATAAAACTCTTTACATTCGATTATCATGAAAACAAATCTCAGAGAACGATTGACTGTGTACCGATGTTTTATTAGACCAAAGGTTCATTGTTCGCCGGAGTTCTCCTTTAAGAGTCATTGTATAAAATGTATATAGATCTTCAGGAAATCTGCAGACCGAATTTGCCCTTTGCACCTGATCTAAGATCATGCACTTATCTTGTGACAGTCATGTCAAGATTTGACTGAAAAGCTTGTTATACATCAGCTTAAAAGCAACTTCTGTCTACAACCCGTGCTGCAGTGACTCAAGACAAAGGCAGATGTGTGTGGCTCCTGTCAAGATAGTTCAGTTGAAGGTTATTCTTTCTGTTTTTGACTGGTCAGGCTTTTGACAACCGCCTGTGTGTTTTTACAAATAGCTACAAAACTTCCACATTAGTCCTGTTGGGTGCAGATTTGAGTGCTAAAATCGGACAATTGTGCATTTAAAATATGCTCTCTCAATGAAGCACGTGTAATTTGTATTATCTAACCTTAAAATAACCCCCAAAATGAAAAATCTACCAGTATTTATTTACTCACCTGCATGTCCAACCAAACCTGTGCTTTTTTCTTCTTCTGTGGAATGGACAAGGTGACATTTTAATGAATCTTTAAACGGCTAATAGTGGCTGTCAAGCACTTCTTCTAAACCAATATAATATATTGTTATTGGAATAAATCATACTGTTTCATTATGATAATTTTTTCCACTAAAAAATGATTTTTAATTTATTTA